TAAAAAATTGATGTATATAAAAATGAATATATAATACTTACTGCTACCCAAGTCAACAAGAAATGCACGATTCAGATGTTTATGATAAACAAGAGCAGCATGAACCCGAGAACAAGAAGCATGATCTATGCAAAAATCATTTAATTGTTGATTACGGCCAAATAAGTAACATTTTTTCTCATCAACCATTAATTTCTAAAACAAAATATGTCTTATATGTCTAATATACATCTAAAAATTAATAATTCTTTAATTATTAAGTACAATATAAGACTGATATACTTGAATTAATTTATCATTCTTCAGTACATCTAAATGTAATCCAACTGGTGGTTTCCCAGCCCTGAAAAGCATAACCTGTGTACTATATATTTGATATTTTCTCTACCTATGAATATCATTGTATGTCAATAGTTAAATAATTATTCGAAAATTTTAATAAAAATTATGCAAACGTACCAATTGGGTACTTCGTAATGATTAGCCATCACTACTTTAAAATAATTTACTTTATTATTTTAGATATAAAATTAAAAAGGAAGAAAAACACATTCGATGTCAGCAATACCAAAATGTCATATTAACCAAACATTAATAAAATTTCATGATAATCTTTTATAATAGTTTTCGTTCCTATTCCATGTTCTGTGGATATTTATTGTAATAGTATAAATGATAGGCACATATATATATATATACGCACCCTAAAAAAAGTTATTTTTTAAGAACTTTAACGTAAGATATTATTTTGATGTCATATATATCTGAAAGTACTTATATCATAAACTTGATATACAATAGATCTATAACTCAATGCATTTTTGTGTCACATAAAGGAACTTCATTACCATTTTCATATTATATGCGATATAACTATATATATAAAGTTTTCCTTTCCTGAAAAGATAATATTATTAATAAAAAATCATTAGCATTGCATAGCTCACTTTACTATCGATAACAATATATTATATACTAAGTTTGAGCACTTTTCAAAGAGATGGCGCTATTAATTACATTTTTAAAAATGATAATATATATTTGTATATATTATATAAAATATATTTAATAAATTATAAATTACAAGTTTTTTAAAAAATTATTATCAAAAATATTTAAATAATTTGTTTTTTTAATTAAATTTTTTAAATTAAACAATATATAGAAATCAATCATTTAGAGTAAGTAAAATTTTAATGAGTTTCAAAAAAGGTGTAATTTTCATTTTTTTATTTAAAATAACATATTAATTTTTTCTTATTTAAAATCATAATCTTAAAAATTATATAGTCTATTATATCTTTGGATTAAATAATATAAAAATATATTGAATGATAAATTTACTTTATATTTATGATTTTTTGCATATTAATAATTTAAAATATAAAAATAACCAAAATCTTAGAAGATAGTAAATATATTG